TATGTGCGACCCGCGGGTCACAACAGAACTTTCTGCTCCCAGCAGCAAGCCCAGCTGGCCCTGATTTCAGCTCTGATGGTTCCAGCAGGTCCAATCTAATGGGACCGGGTCTGTCAGCAGAACCGGAGCAGAAACCTCTGGATCCCAAACGACAGAAGTTAGAACTGGGCCTGAAGGTCCAGAAGAAGAAACCAGCGTCAGATTCCCATGGCCGATCCAGATCCAGATAAAGACCCAGAACCAGAACCAGAACCTGGGAATACCAGCAGAACCAACATGGAGCTGGCCTGGTGAGTCTGAGAACCCAGCAGAACCAGAACCAGAAGCTGCCAGGTGTCTACAGATGATTCCAGGTGTCTCCAGGTGATTCCAGGTGTCTCCAGGTGTTTCCAGGTGACTCCAGGTTACCTGCAGCGTTGCGGCGCTCCTCCTCTGGTGGTGGCGGCGGCGTTCTGCTCAGGTGTTCCAGGATCTCTGACGGAACGCATCAAACATTCAGAGCGGCTCAGGTGACGGCCGGCTGCCACGCCTGCTCGGGTTTCGTGGAGAGGGTGTTACCACGGCAACCAGGTGAGGCAGGCCAGACAGTGGCAGGAGGCGGGTCCTGAAACCTGAACAGGACCAACAGAACATCCTGACAGCTGATTGGCCAGAGGAGCCAGAGCCAATCAGATCGTTCCACCACAGCCTGCAGCCTGGGGGCGGGGCCTGAGCCCGGGAGCTGGCAGCTGATTGGATGAGAAGATCCGAGTCACGAACAGAGACAGGAGCTGATCCGATTGGACCCGGTTCTGAACCCATTCGCTGTTTTCATAAAGTACATGGACATGGACCCGGTTCTGACAAGAACCTGGACCCGGTTCTGAGCCAAACCGGACCCGGGTTCTGACAAGAACCAGTCCAAACTGGACGATATGAGGCAGAAAAAAAAGACAGATCTGTTTATTGAGGAGTTTTTACTGAGAGCAGCAGGTTCTGGTTCTGGTTCTGATCATTACAGAGAAACATTTCAGTAAAATCACATCAGCATGTTCAAAAGCAGCCGTTGAGAGGTGCAAACGGTCCGGTTCCGGTCCGACCGGGTCAGATGGGCATCTGGAGGTGCGAGTACTCGTCCTGCCCCTCTTTCTCCTCTAGGTGGGGCTCTGCATCGTCAGCATCCAGCTGCAGGTCAGAGGTCAGAGGTCAGAAGTCCAGGCTGGACCGAATGCTGCTGTTTGTGGGTTAAGGATGACATCACAGTGACATCACTGACTCACACTCAGAAGCTCTCTGGGGCTGAAGAGGCGCGGCAGCAGCAGCATCCTCAGAGGGATGGTCAGCAGCAGCATGAAAGGGAAGGCTAGCGCCGCCGCTGTCGCCATGACGACCCACAGCAGGGACAGGCACGTCAGCTGGACCAGCGTGAACAGGTGCATCCGCAGCGTCCTCACCTGGACAGGACAGGAGACCACAGGTCAGCAGGGACTGGGATCAGGTGAGTAGGGACCGGAACCAGAACCGGGCCTTACCTTGCGGACGTAGTTCTGGTCTGGATGGTACTTGGGAGGCATCAGCAGCAGGATGAGACGCTCTGTCAGCTGGATCCCGTTCAGTGACATCACTCCCATGTAGAGGAAGATCCCAAACAGAACCGCCAGAGGTATCTGGCGCAGAACCTCTCCAATAACAATGGACAGACCTGACAGAGCAGACCCGTTCAGAACCCAGCAGTCTGGAGGTGACCCAGGTGCTGGTACCAAGACGCTGCCTTACCCACTAGAACCGCCACCAAGAACCCAGTCACCCTCTGCTCCTTCACCTCCTGGATGCGCGGCTTGTCTCCGGGGTCCACGGCCTTGCTCATGACGGTCAGGGCGTTGGTATGAGTGACCGAGCGAACCGTGGCGGCGGAGAGCCACGGCAGACCAAACAGGGCTGAGACTCCGCCCACCACCACAATAATTAACAGGTCCAGATGAAACCCGGTTCCTTTCACCAGCATCCTCTCCTTCTTACTGACAATCAGCCTACAAGACAGATAAGACATCTGTCAGCTCACATCAGGACATGGGCCAGAACCTGGACCCAAACCACACGTCAAGAGTCCAGTTCTGCTGAACGTTAAGGATGCATTCCCACCAGCCCTGTTCACTTCGCTTCAATCCGACTCCAGTCCGTTTGCCTATAAAATCCGGTCCGGTTGGTGAGGTGTGAATGCTAATCGACCTCTGACCTCTGGACCTCTGGTCCTCCAAACCTCGGTCTGGGTTCAGTTGAAATGAACTCTGGTTCAGTTGAAGTAAAGCGGACTGTAAAGCAGGAAGTGGACTACAGCACAGGGCATTCTGGGTAAATACAACCAAAGCTAACGTGCTAGCCTAGCGCTAGCAGCAGAAATGTCTCCTGGTCTTTAGACAAAGCCTAAAGAGAAATCCTCCAACAGCTAAAATCTGACGCCTCCATCTTGTTTCCAAGAGAGGACCATGATTTTCGTCAAACGTTCCTCCTGGACCCAAACTTAGCAGTACTGACCATAAACCTGTTTAAAAGTCAAGAACCACTTTGTCTAGACAAAGAGTCTAGTCAGACCAAGAAGGGTAGGTGGACCATTTCTGGTTCCAGTTTTAGGTTTTAGAAAGAGATCAAATGTTAAAACAATTTGAGTCAGAACTCCTCGCTGTACAATGATTCCTTATTGGAACTGGGTTTGTCTGGTTCATCTTTAGCAGTACCACCTCTGAGGTACTGGTACTGACTACATCCCTGACAAGCAGTAAGTTCTTTACGCTGTGATCTGTGACTCCATGAAGATGAGGATGAAGACCAGGATGGCCGGCAGGATACTGGCTCCCATCATCCAAACTGGAAACTGGCCATCAGAACCCAACGGAGAAATCAGCCAGCCACGCTTCTCGGGACTGGACACTGAGAATCCGCTGGGAACGTTGAGTTTCTGTAGACCAACAGGAGCAGAGCGGTTCACCGTTGGGGTCAACAGGTTGTGGGATTAAAACAAACTGCACCCTCACCTGGGTGTAGGTGTCTTCCACACTGTAATCCACCAGAACCATGATGAGGATGGCAATGGGGACCCCAAAGTCTCCAATAATTCGACGGATCTGAAACACAAGGAATGTGGTTTTAGATCCGCAGACGCTGGTCAGCTGATGGAGATGTCCTAACGTCCTCTCTAGGAGAACCGAGGTCTCTAGACCAGGCTAAGAATCAGTCATACAACACTACTAGACCTCACGGGTCAGTTCTGGTTCTACTGGTCCAAACTGGTCTAAGCTTTAGAAAACTGGACTCCTTCAGACGGTCTCACAGTAAAATTTGGACTGAACCATCTGTCTCTGGTTGAGGACTTTAACCTTTCACCTCTGAACCCTGATAATCAGATTGGGAGCCTCCAGCAGATACTTTGGGTTTGGGCTGGCCTCTTCTTCAGACCTGGTCAGGGCTGGGGGTGTACTGGACCCGTCTCTCTGCTCTGGCAGGTACTGACCCGTCCTGGGAAGAAGGAGCTGTTCTTGAACTTCCGCAGGTAGAAGGCGATGAAGTACGTTCCCGCCATGAGGACCAGTGAGAGCAGCGCCGTGTTTGGCTCTCCAGCGGTTCCCCCGGGACTCCCAGCAGTCACCGAGAAGTTGCAAGGAGACGGAGATCCACTGCTGTTTCCATGGAAACAGTTCTGGAGTGGGTGCTCCTTAAAGATCTATAAGAGAACAGAGAAGAAGTGGAACCCTGCGGCATCACAGCTGGAGTCTTCAGCAGGCTCCTGGACTGACCTTGACCAGCTTGGCGAAGGTCTCATAGATGAAGATGAGGGAGATGAGAAAGGAGAAGATCTCCTGAGTGAAGCGAGAAACAAACCGAACCAGGATGCTTCCCTCCAAGGCCACAGTGATGAAGACGATCAGCACCAGCCAGAAGCCGATCCAGACCCGGCCCGTCAGGTACTCAATGTCGTTGTCTTTGCAGAACTGCAGAGAAACACAGAGCGGCTCAGTTTCAGGGAGCGTCCTGACAGCTGTGGGGCGAAGCAGCAGAAAACCGTTTCCACAAAGCAGATGGGAATGATCCCTCACCTCGTACAGACGGCAAATAAACATCCAACAACTTGCTTTTAATTCACATTTTCAATTAATTATTTAAAGCGGTTCCATTTAATCTACATGCCGTCCCAGTAACCAAACCCAGTATAAGCCTGTTATCTCACAGCCTCAGGCTGGATCTCAGTGCTTTGCACACTTCCAATAATCTGCTAAAAGTGGAGCTAGTTTTTAGCTTAGCGCTTTAACATTTTTGCTAACTTTGAAAACATTTAGCGCATTTAGCTTCCCCTTAGTGATTTTCTCCAGATAAGTGCAAATTTACTTGCCTGTGTTGTAAACTTGCAGTTGAATAAAGTTTGATGTCTGTGTTTGGTTAGATTTGGTTACCAACCTTTAGGAATTCTTCAAGTAGCTCAACATTTATATTCATGCTCTTATTTTGAAGGGGCTGAGCGCTGCTTACAAAGCAGATATGTTTCGTCTCATTCTTCACCCATGATGCGGTGCAGTAGTTTATTCTGTACCCAGAATGCATTGCAGTAGTTCTAAAATAAACATGCTTTCTGACAAGCTGCTGCATCCTTGGTGCGCGAAGGAGCGTTACGGTAGATCCTTCCTCCAGCAGCTGTTAGGTTCCCTGCTGGTATTTCCAGTTTTACTGTCAGTTTTCGGTAAACAGTTTGTTCTTTTAATGCACAAATACACATGGACATGTTGGACATGTTCAGAGTATGCAGTATCTTATGTTGTATTTCTGTCCTTACTGTACAGTTTGCAGTTTTCTATTGTTTGAACCAGTGAGCGTCACTTTCTGCCAGGAGAGCTCACCGTGTAGAAAGCTTCCTCAAACACCAGCAGAGGTCCAGAGAACCCAATCACCAGCAGAGGCTGAGCTCCCAGTATGCTGAACACGATACCTTGCATCGCCGTGGCAACAATCAACTCAGACACCCCGATCAGACCCTCGGTCTTCTCGCCTGGATCACAGAACAGAGGTTAAAGGTCGTCCTGCTGGTTCTCCTCCATCCCTGCTGAGGGTCTCACTCACCAAGCAGTCCACCGAAGGTGATGGCAGGAGACAAGGCAGCGAAGTAGATGAAGATGATGGCCGCCATGCACTGAGGGTTCAGAGCATCCTGAATGTCACTGAGGTACTGAGGGTACCGCCGGGTCACATCCTGGATCAGACCGCCAAAGAGACGACCCGAACGCCTCAGAGGAGCTTCGGCAGACTTGAAGGGAACCAGAGAGTCTGAGAGAGAAGATCAGGCTGAAATCAGAGGAGAAACAACGCAGCGACCTGCAGCCACCGCCAGGCCACCGCCAGGCCACCGCCAGGCCACCGCCAGGCCACCGCCAGGCCACCGCCAGGCTGATGATACAGAGCACTGACCACATCTTGATCACATGTCAATGCTTTACTGATCTCTCTAAATTCTCCTTAGGTGTGTTGTTTGTTCTGTGTGTCTCTGTGTTGCTCTGCAATGGACTGGTGACCTGTCAAGTTGACCTGGCCTCTTGCCCTTTGACCCCTGGAGATAGGCACCAGCAACT